CCCCCGCACCCCCAGACTAGGTGTTTTGTAACAGTAACAGACCTTCCCCAGCGGTGTTCGCCGCGCTCCTTGGAGAGCACTTGGCTGCGTATCTGCCCGGCCTTCTTAGGTTGCAGCTTTGTAAAGGACAAGGACTGTGTGAGGCTTGCCCGCCTTTGAATTTCTTACCCCAAGTGCCAACCACATAAGCGGCATTTTATAACTATTTAGGAAGGAAGGAATGAACGCACAATACGTCTGAAGCCAGTACGCCTCGGATCCCCAGTTTTTGTGTTTTGCACGAAGCTTCCGGCATTCCGAGGCGCCCCCGCCTTGCTGGACCCGGCTTGTTTGATGACTGCTCAGTTTTCCTCATCGGCCTCTCCTTTCTTTCATGAAATACACTCTCCCAAGGAACCATACTGCTGTTTCCCAAATTTTGCAACTAGAAACCTGGTGTCCGTTAGGCAAACTTTTTTTTTTTTTTTTTTCCTTTTCCCACCAGACTCCTTTTCCACTTTAAACCAGATAGTCCACTCATTCATTCAAATATTTGAAGGGTCTCGGTCATATGCAGGCCCTGTGCTGAAGGGGGCTAATATGCGTCTTTGTCATCAAGAGCTCGCAGTGCAGCAGGGAAGACAGACAGCCCATTGTACAATAAACGCTTTCATCTTGATAAAGCAGTTCAGAATCATTTCCAGACTTAGGTGGGGAGCCAAGAGGCGTAACCTAGGCGAGAAGGGAGGGGAGCTTCGCAAGCAGAGAGAACAGTATGTCCAACAGGTAGGAAGGAGCAAGCGTCTAAACTGAAGCACTGGAAGAATGCAGAGGGCAAGGAAAAGAGCGTCAGATGGGACCTGCAGAGAAGCCAGGGTCAGTACTGAAAGGGCCTTTCGGCAAATGAAGAGTGTTAATCAAGGGGGCGGACATAATCCTATTTGACTTGGAAAAGATCGCTCTGGCTGTACTGTAATTTGGAAAATGGGTTGAGAAGGATAATATTACTTAGATTTATTTAGGCTCAGTCATTAAAGAGACCTTGTGTCCTCATGATTATATCTGAGGATGTCTTCTCTATTTCTTCTGTCTACCTTCCTCCTTTCAAGGCCTTTGCACATTCATGAATACTTTCAGAATTAGAAAGGGGCACCGTCCACTGTCCCTTCTGAATTCTTCTTCATGTTGGATTGAAATCGGCCTCTCTCCACCTACAATTAATTGTCCCAGACTCAACACACAGCATGTATCTAATCCTCATTCGTTGTGAAACATCTTCATACGTATGAAGAAAGCTATGTGATTTTCCTTTAAGCCTTAGCCAATTCTTTCAACCACTGTTTAAACGATATGGATCCCAGATCATTTAATAGCTTTATCATCTTAGAACCTACCTATGTGCAGTACTTTGCATTTATCACTGAATCAAAGATTATTAAAATTTTTTATTGTAAAATAAAGTAATTTAAAAAGAAAATAATTTTTCAGGTTTAGCTTACATTGGGATTTAAGCAAATTATTGCAAATGTTCAAGGATTGCAATAAGTCAGTTTGGTATAGTTTTGAGCAGAGTGGGTAAATATAAATGTAAATTGTGGCAGAGTGATAATCCCCCCATCTCAAAATATCAGGTCCTATACCTGGTGCTTGTAAATGTTAACTTATTTGGAAAAGGGTCTTTTCAGATATTATTAAATTAACTATTTTGAGATAGAGAGATTATCTTGGATTATCTGGGTGGCCTCTACATACAATCACAAATATTCTTTTTTGTTAATCCTCACAGAAAGAGATTTCTTTCCATTGATTTTTTTTTTTTTTTTTTTAAGAGAGAATGGGAGGGAGAGAGAGAGAAAGAGAGAGAAACATTAACGTGAGAGAGACACATCAATTGGTTGACTCCCGCATGCACCTGAGCGGGCCAGGTATGGAACCTGCAACCCAGGTATATGCCCTTGACCTGGAATCTAACCCAACACCCTTTGGTGAGGGCCAGTGCTCTAACCACTAAGTAACACCAGCCAGAGCACAAATATTCTTATAAGAAGAAATCAGAAGGGCCCAGCCAGTGTAGCTCAGTGGTTGAGCATCGACCTATAAACCAGGAGGTCATAGTTCAATTCCCAGTCAGGACACATGCCCAGATTTTGGGCTTGATTCCCAGTTGGGGACGTGCAGGATGCAGTGGACCAATGACTCTTTTTCATCATTGATGTTTCTATCTCTCTCCCCCTCTCCCATCCTCTCTCTGAAGTCAATAAAAACATATTTAAAAAAATCAGAAAGAGATACTACATACACAAAAGAAAAAGCAATGTGACCACGGAGGCAGAGATTAGAATGATGCAGACACAAACCAAGGAATGCTGACAGCCACCAGAAGCTGGAAGAGACAAGGAATAGATTTTCCCCCTAGAGTTTCTGGAGGGAGTGCGGCCCCGCCAAAACATTAATTTCAACCTAGTGAAACTGAGTTTGGGCTCCTGACCTCCAGAACTGGAAGAGAATAAATGTGTGTTATTTAAAGTCATTAGATTTGTGGTGATTTGTTACAGAAGCCATAGGAAATGAATATATAAGTATATTGGGAGAAAACAAGTAGCCTATATGAGTCTAATGTTAGAATTGCAGATTCTCAGATTCTCAGTCCCCCAACTCCATTAAATCAAATTTCAGGATCACAGTCCAGGAATCTGTGTTTTGTTTTTTAATCCTCACCTGAGGATATGTCTATTGATTTTAGAGAGAGAGGAAGGGGGGGTGGGGAAAGGCAGGGAGGAGAAAGAGAAAGAAACTTCTATGTGAGAGAGAAACATCAATCGGTTGCCTCTTATACGTGCCCCAACTGGGGACTGAACCCACAACCTTTTCTGGTGTACAGGAAGATGCTCCAACCAACCGCTGCAACCCACTGAGCCATGGGGGGCAAGGAATCTGAGTTTTAACAAGCCCTCCTTGTAATTCTTATCCATGCTAAAGTTTGTAAAGCACTGACTTAGGAGATAGAAATACGACTTTGGAGAAAATGGTCATGCAAAGGGAGAGAGATAAGTAGGGAAGAAAAACTTTGTTTTTATTCTTTTGGCTCGGCACTTTGAAGCGCCTGAGGCATTCCCAAGTAAAAATATCTAGTTGGCTTTTTGGGCCTATAGCACAGAAGAGAGATCTGGGCTTTTGAGGCAAGGATAAAGGAATCTTCAATATAGACCTGGAAGTAGAGTACACAGGACAGGATGGGATCACTCAGGAAGAATGTATAAAAGTGAGAGGGTCCCAGGGCCTAGGACGGCGCTCTGAAGCACACTGACTTTTAAGGGATGGGCAGAGAAAGGAGCTGCAAAGGGAAATCCAAAGGAGTAGAAAGAAAACTAGAAGTCAATGTCAAGGAGAAGAGAATGTCTTAGGAAAAAAGGAATCATGAAATATGCTTTGGAGAAATCAAGTCAAATAAGGATTGGTAACTGTCTACTGGTTTAACCACAACATAATAATTGGAGATCTTGGTTACAGCAGTTTCAATAGAATGGGAGGGTTGAAATAAACTTGTAATGCTCAGGAACCAACTAAAAATGGTTGATTTAGACCAGTGGTTCTCAACCAGGAGTAATTATGCTCCCCAAGGGATATTTGGCAACATCTGGTGACATTTTTGGCTATAGGCCTTTAGTGGGAGGAGATTAGAGATGCATAAACATTCTTTAATGCACGGGACACCCCTCCACCCCAACAAAAATTATCTTGCCCAAAATGTCAATAATGCCAAGGATGAGAAACCCAGCTTTAGCATAA